CCCCTGTCGTTCACCGGGGTAAACTCCAACACATGGCGGCTAAGCTGGGGAGCTATGAGCAAGCCCACACCAGCCCACCGCCTCTCACCGTGGGCAACTCCAGAGTAGTAGAGAGTCCAGCCTCTCTCGAGGAGTAAAGTTCCAGAGTCCAAGCTGTGCGTGGAGGTGAGCCCGACTATATCTAGCCGGTACCTCTCAACCTCCTGCACAAGCTCAGGCTCCTTCCCCACCAGCGAGGTGACATTCCATGTCCCCAGGGCTAGTCTCCGTGTCCAGAGATCAGGTCGTCGGGGCCCCTGCCTTTGACTGCTGCCCAATCCACTGTGCGCCGGCCCCTTATGGATCCTCCTGCAGGTGGTGGGCCCACAGGAGGAACGAAATGACTCGAAAAAAAAATTTGTTAATTTTGCTGAATGAGATTCAAAGAACTGAATCAGTAAAATGATCCGAACTTCCCATCGCTACGGAGAGAGTGGTGGAGGGGCAACAGCGCCACCTAAAGGTCGGAGAATAATATCAGTGCGCTCCTTGACTAAGTATTACGTTAGCATCAACAACACAAAACCACTTCCGTCCAGCACTTTAAAAATAAAATAAAGTCAAATGTATTAAATGTACAACCTTCAAATAAATTATTTTTATGTTTACATATAAAAATGAACCAATCAAGGACTTATTCATTGATAAAAACCAACACAAGGAGTAGAACAGCTGGTATAGAATTTCATTAGAATCAAATCAGGCCTAAATACGTTATTGTCACATTTCATTATTTTAAATCGTGAAGCTTATTGTGCCAGAATAATTTAGGCCTATGTGTTTTATCTTGGCTATAATAATATTTCCCCGTTAAATGCTGCTCTAAATGCTTGTATAAGATTTTAATAACAATTTTAATTTGGTATTTTAAGGTGACAAAGAACACCAGTCCCAAAATGGTTTTCCTGCTAACTTAGTCTTACATATAGCTGTATTTAATCACGTGTTCTGTCTTTATAAAATAAATAAACAAGCAACCTGTCTCCTGAACCACATACCGCTTTTATTTTCAAGGCGGTGAGCAGCTAAGGTAGTGACGTAGTTTCCGGTGGCTGTGTTTGGTGTGGTCGGGCTCAGTTTGGCTCGGTTCGGCTCAGAATACACCAGCAGCTGTAGCACCAGCACCAACACTTGTACACCTCTGTGTGACCGCGGAGGAAAGATGGCGGCCCCTTCTCTCTCCGGTCGGGCCGGTTCGGCGGGCAGCCTCGGGAACAGCCCCCCTATGGCCGCCAGCACGCCGCCACAAAGCGCAGGCGGAGAACCCGTCGGCGGCCCGAATGGAGGACCTGAACCGGCTCATCCAGGAGTTCAGCAAGCATGACCAGCGGGAGTACGACGACCAGCGGGCTCTGGAGATCCACACGGCCAAGGACTTCATCTTCTCCATGCTGGGTGAGCGCGCACACACAAACACTGGGCTGAGCCCTGCTCTTCAGCGGGGAACGCACTGCGGGGGCTCTGCTGTGAACGGTGTTGTTTTGCAGCCGGGAGGGGGGCTGCTGGAAGAAGGTGTTCACCTGGATCCCCATCCCCACCTGCACTGACGGAGCAGGTGACTCAGATTCGGGTTGGCAGACGTGAAGCTGCGGGATGGTGCGTGATTTTAAATGTTAAAGCGCAACGGTGGTGCGTTATTTGTTTTTCCAACACCTGAGCACAGGTGATGCAGACCCTCTCCGCCTCCAGTGAAGGAACAATCTGAGTAGAAGCGGTGTACAAACACACACACACACACACACACACACACAGTTCCTTTGCTGAGTTCCACTTCTGTGACCCAGCACGTTGAGGAAAGTTTCTAACTGTGTTGGAGATACAGTATTTTCAAACTCCTCAAAGTCTAGGTTTGTAGATGCATCAAAAAATATGCAAAAAAATATTTTAGTGCAGGATAAAGGATTTTGTCCTTCTCGTCATCTTCCTCTGGAGAAACTTCCTCCTTGAGCTCTTTTATTTTATTGTATTATTAATGTTAATATTTGTGTTTGCTTCATATTTGCAGTTGAGTTGTCTGAGTCGCTGCTCAAACCAAACAGGGCCTTGTGTTAGACTGAATGTGTGCTGTGCTGGATGTGATGACCATATCTGTTCCAGAAAGTCCACTTTGGCAGTAGATTTGTGAAGGTTTTATCAGGTGGAGTTGTGGAATTCTGGGAAGTTATGTCTTGTGGAAGCAGAACTTTACATGAACATAATAATAAGCACACATGTTAAACCATATTGGCTGCAAATCATTCCTTCAGAAATAAATGACAGTTTAGAACCGTGTGGTTTATGTGTGGACCCTAAGCTGAATATATCCCTGAACTTGAAATTAAAAGGTTCACATGGAGTTTCTCACATAACACAGTGAGTTTCCTTGAGCTCTAACACACATTAAATGTGTTTCCATTCTCAATAACTATATATATATATGGATATCAACCCACATGGGAAAAAGAGCTGCAGCCATCAGTTTACTGGTAGAAAATTAAACAGAAGCAACAGTCATCGACATGTTCTGGTTCCACCTTCTTTAATGTGAGGAACTGATGCTTTTCTTTGTCATGAGAATCAGCTGAGTCTCTGTGGATCTGCTGGTTGGACACAACAAGACGTGGAGATGCCACTTTTGGCCCTGGAGAGTCACAGTGGGACTTTTTTCTCAGTTTAAACATGGAAGGTAAAAATTGTGGGACATGATTGCAAGCAGCCTTGATTTGATTTGATTTGATTTGATTTATTCTTTCAAACATGTAAAGACAGTCAATATGTCAACACACATAATTTCACACATATCCACAAATGCATTATCAATGTGCTTATACCTAGTACATGCTTGAACGGTGTAGGAAGAGGTTAGACTTATCCAGTCCTACCCCATAGCTTTGCTCTGCAGAATGGACGCTGTATGTCCAGGCTGTTAGATGTGTGTTTAGGTTGGGTAAAGGGTCAATCCCTCTACTCAGATTTCATTATTAATCTCCTTGAGCCTCAGTGCAGCTTTAAAAGATTAATTTGTAACTGACCCCTACTGCTGAGTTAGTGATGTTTGAGACAAAGTGGTCACTCCTGTGTTTAAATAAAACTTTATTGACAACAGTAATAATACTGTTGATGGTGATCATAACTGAAACAACGCTAGAGGAAGAGGAACCATGGAGGATTAGCTGTAGGAATGTGAGATTTAGCTACTCAGTGAAAACACTCCCTATCAGTTTCATTATGACGCTGGACCTCCAAGATCTGGATTAAAATAGTCCAACACACATACACGCAGCAGGACTGTCCATCTGACAAAGCCACAGTTAATTTTAGCCATTAGCTGTTCATTTTCTCCAGCATGCTGACAGGTTTGTTTCAGATCTAAATCGGATTCAGACAAGATTTTCACAGCTCACATCCTGCAGATAAATGTGCTCTTGTGTCTGTGGGGGAAGAGAAACTTGTTTCACTGCTGTAACTCTGGTGAAACAGGCCTCAGGGTTGCTCAATGCATTGGTAAGATTTGGGAGCTGGGTCATTTCCTCTGTGGGGATCTGTGGTTCTCCTCTCTGTGCAGACCCACAGTGTCTGAGAGGAACAGAACAGAACAAAAATATCAAAACAAATAGCTGTTTCTATATTTTTCTGGTAGAGTTCAAACTGTTGTTGCCAATAAACTCTCTAATCAGTTGATAATGGCATCCCTCAAGGATCCATAGTAGACCTGCTGTTCTTTACACTATACATAAATAATAATTTGTTTTCCAAGTCAACCCTATACTGTTCATTTTTATGCTGATGTCACCGTCGCCGGCCCTGGAATGTGCTGGAATGAATGTGATGTTATTGGAGCTTTTCTGAAGACTTGATAAAAACTTACTATCCAACTAAAAACTATCCCAACACAGTGATGTATGTCAATCACTGCTGATGTGCTCTGCCCTTAATATGTTGTCCACAGACCACAGCACTCGTCCATTCTTAAGTGTCTGTTCAGACCAGAAAGTGGCCCTGCAGAAATCATCTGTGGATGCTGGCCAGTCAGTTCAGGTCTGATACACTAGTTACTGGTGAAGTATCCAGGGACTTGCTAGCACTAACCAGCCTCAGCTGGAAAATGGATGCAGTGTCCGTACGGTTTCTCCAGGAGATGTGTTAGTATTGTGGACTCCTTTGGAAGGATGTAGTGCAGACTGTGTTGCATGTCAGCTGTGGAGTGGTTTATCACATGGCTCTATCAGCTGTTTACTTTTGTGGTAGTTCAACTCTATGCAAAAGAATGACTTTGCCTCTGCGTGCACATCCACTGATCGTGGCTGTTCCGCTGAGTGATCATTTTATTTTTCTTGAACATTTTGGTGTCATAAGAGGAAGGACCAGGGAAAACACAGAGAGCAAGCTGTGGTTTGCGGCTGTACCCTATGGGGTGTGGTACAGAATAACATGAGGTATAAAGGCCTGGCTGTTTCGTAAAAAGCGTGGTCTGACTACATCCCAAGTCACCATACCGTTTTACATGGCCACTCAAAGGCGGGCAATTGTCGGTTTATGGAAATGTACAGGTTGCCAGGTCTCGAAGCTGTGGGAAGAGGAGGTTTCAGATGCTGTGAGACAATCCTAAAAGCTGATTTGTTAGAAATACACTGGTGCCTTACTGTGTTCCCTGTTTGTATGAAGTATAATGCAGTGGCCCCTGATCTGATTGTGTCTGTCCTCATTTGTCTCTCAGGAATGGTGCAGAAGTTGGACCAGAAGCTTCCAGTGGCCAACGAGTACCTCCTCCTGTCTGGAGGCGTTCGGGAGGGGGTGGTGGACCTAGACCTGGATGAGCTGAGCGTCTATGCCCGCGGCACAGACTATGACATGGACTTCACCCTGCTGGTTCCAGCGCTCAAACTCCATGACCGCAACCAGCCAGTGACCCTGGACATGAGACATTCAGCCCTGGGCCACTCCTGGCTCAGCCTCCGCCTCTTCGATGAAGGAACCATCAATAAGTGGAAGGACTGCTGCACCATTGTCGACCACATCAGCGGGACCACCAACTACTTCTTCTCTCCAACACTGGTGGCTGACTGGTTCTACCAGTCCATATCCCTGGTGCTGCTGGAGGTGCAGAAGAAGCCGCAGAGGGGGATGCCAAGAGTGGAGAAGGTGGAGAGGAATGGCACCGTCATCTCTGTCATCCTTGGTGTCGGGAGCAGCCGGATGCTCTACGACATTGTCCCAGTAGTGTCCTTCAAAGGCTGGCCAGCTGTTGCTCAGAGCTGGCTGATGGAGAACCACTTCTGGGATGGGAAGATCACAGAGGAGGAGGTGATCAGTGGCTTCTACCTCGTCCCTGCCTGTTCCTTCAAGGGCCGAAAAGACAACGAGTGGCGCCTGTCGTTCGCTCGCAGTGAGGTGCAGCTGAAGAAGTGCATCTCGTCCAGCCTGATGCAGGCATACCAGGCGTGTAAAGCCATCATCATCAAGCTGCTGTCGCGCCCCAAAGCCATCAGCCCATACCACCTCCGTAGCATCATGCTGTGGGCCTGCGACCGCCTCCCTGCCAACTACCTGGCACAGGACGACTTCTCCGCCCAGTTCCTGCTGGGCCTGATCGATGACCTGCAGCACTGCCTCGTCAACAAGATGTGTCCCAATTACTTCATTCCCCAGTGCAACATGCTGGAGCACCTTTCAGATGAAACGGCCATGCTGCACGCCCGCAAACTGTCCTCGGTGCGCTCTGACCCGGCCGAGCACCTCCGCACCACCATCGAGCACGCCAAGGCTGCCAACAGGCTGACAGTGGAGCTGCAGTGGCGAGGCAGCGCCAACAACCTGCCTTCGCCACAGTCCGATGCCGGTGGAGACAACCAGCCAGACGACCGGCTGGCCAAGAAGCTTCAGCAGCTCGTCACTGAGAATCCTGGGAAATCCATCTCAGTCTTCATCAACCCAGACGACGTGACACGGCCACACTTCCGCATCGATGACAAGTTCTTCTGAGACTGAGGAATGTTCTCCCAAACCTCTGCCTCCTCCTCCTCCTCTCTGCCTTCCTCCTCGTCGCCTCTGAAACGTTAATCTGTTCATCTTTTTGTTTCACAGAGTGAAGTGAGATGATTGTCTACTTGTTTTCCATGATTTTTTATTTTTATTTTTCTACTCCCCCTGTTCCCCTATTCCCTCCTCGTTCACTGTGTGCCCTGTGTTCTTACCTGCTGGACGCCTTTCAGATAGCAGCAGGTTGTTTTTAAAAATGAAGCATGAGGCAGAAATCCACCTTAAAATGAAACTGTATTCCTACGTTACGGTAGTTTAATGTAATTATCAGGGATCCTGCAAGAGAGACGAAACTAACAGCTCCTGAAAACACCACAGAAACTTGTACTAAGGGTCAAACCTGAAATCTGTAGTAGCAACTCGGAGACAGAACTGCAAAAGTTAGCAACAGTGACATGAATGATTCTGTGTAAGAACGTTTGGTCAGAGCGTTCACAACTAGTGATTTCATGGATTTGCTCCTCCAGCTGTGGAAGCTTCTCATGATAATTGGCGCTTTTCTACTTAGGAATTTGGATTTGTCCAATAACTAAGACATAATTATTTATTACACTGTCTCGCAGTTGTCAGATGATACGAGCCCGTTATTCTGTTGTCACTGGTGTTTTTCACAAGGTTCTCTCAATAATTCGGCGATTTAATAATGAAATTCCCATAATGATAAAATATGTTATAGTTCTCATAATAATCATGATGGAAGTGAAACGTTTCCTCATCGTTAGAAAGTATCTCCTAGTTGTGGCCTTCACACAAAGTCCTAACTATAAGGTACTATGTGATATTCAAGCCCACTATTATTATGAGGATGTTTTGTGATAATTTAGTTTCTCATCATTTGTTTGTACTAATTTCTTATAATTAATACATTTACTAGAAAATTCTCAGAAGCTCAGTTATGAGTTACCATCTTATGAAAAAGTTGTTATAGTTAAGGGCTAGTTTCTCTTAATGTTGTCTTCGTGACTCCTGCCATGCTGAGTCAGAATCATGAGACAGATCTTTGTCATTTCAAAACAAAACATTTGAAAACCTCCCTTTACTCTTTACATGGTTCAAATATCTGCAAAAATGTGGTTCATGATTTTGCGCCGATCCTGGAACAGCTCCAAGGTTGCTGAATGCTTCTGTATTTGATAAGATTGTTTACAAATTCAGGAAATGGGGATGCCAAATGGCACAGACAGAGGTCTCAGTCCCAGGAGTAGATTTGTGTGTGAAGGTGTTTTTTTCCCTTTGAGGAATGTCTTGGCCCCGCTGCGGGAGGATGGTACTAACGTCTTAGAAACTCACTGTAAATAGAAGAAAACTGACTGAACACCGACGTGTGTGGACAGAGAAATAGAGACTGATGATGATGATGTATGGACCACGTTTCGTCTAATTCTGCACAGAATGTAAAAACACTTTTCCTCTTGACTGTGGATGTTGTCTGTCCTGATTCTCAAACGTATCATATCAGTAGACGGTGGCACTGACTGAACAATGGTTGCACTGCACATCTGAAATGCAGATATTAACCGGTAGGATAGCACACAGTGATACTGCACCAATAACTCTAATTCCCGTATTTTGTTGTTCCTCGGTCCTTGCTCATCCCGGAAGTCGTTCTTGTCCCCCATGATGAACAACATCCCAAAGCTCTTACTGCTGCTGTGAGGACTGAGGAAGCTGTTGGAGGAAATATAACCAAGGATACAGGTGTGTATCCTTCATCCTTCTTGAAGTCTGTTACAGATTGGCATGGCCTTTATCAGAAAATTGTTTGTGATTGGACACTTCACCTTAAGGATCAGAGGAAAGGTCTCATGTCAGTTAAAACATGTTTCCTAAGCTCCTCTCTCCTCGTCCTGGCACCTTACTTGTGCAGGACTAAGACACAGGGAAAAGACGAGTGTGAGGGAATGTGGATGCAGTTAGTGGAACTGGGATTCACCTATGGTGTTGGTGTGGTGTTAGCTTGCAACATGGAGCCCCTGGTGCTGGGCGTTACTTGAACCGTTCATCCAACGGCCTAGTGCCAGGTTCACATGCTGCAGTGATGTTACAGATAGAAAGGCAATGCTGAATGTGTAAGGACGATCTCTCAGCACAAAACTTCAGCCAATCACGTGTCTCTGAGCCGGCTCTGTTGAAGGCGGAGCTTGGCCCTAGATGGCCAGCCAGGCCCCAGTCAGCACGATCACCTCCTGCTGCTGGGACCAGATGGAAACGGAGGCTGACCCGTGCCCGCCTGAACAAACACCATGTTTTTAAGCACCTGTGCTTGGTTGCGTGAGGAAAAGAGCACAAACCTCAAACACATTGTTCTGCTTCTGAAAATGGAGGAAAGCCAAAAGTGACAGTGCTTCACTATTTTCTGTTTTAGAATATTTACCAAACTAGTTGGAGTTGAAGAAGGAAAGCCATGTGAGAGAACGCTGAGCTGCTGTGTTGTTCATCAGTGACAATGGGGAGACAGAACAACCAGTCAGAGCGTGGAGAAAGCACACGCTGTGTATCACAGTGCAGTCAACCCATTTAATGAGTGTGGTGTGTGATTAGAGCCCAGATCAGGGCGGTAAACAGTGAATGTCCTGTCACCACCCCCCAGCCTCGAGGCTGATCCACCGAGTGTCTGATGCTCCGTTTTAGAGCAAGTCAAACACCTTGGTGTAGACTGGGAGGTGGGACTCTGGGGCTGATTTTAGCAGTGCAGCAACCAGCACCACGACCTTTGGCACTTTGGGTCACGTCTGAACCTCCTACCTGTTTTCAGCTCTTCTCCCACAAGTGCTGGGCAGAAAACCCCAAACATTTCTTAACGAACCATTTTCTGCTCCACTATGTAAAACAGTTTTGAATGTGTTGGAGGAAAAACATCCCACAGCTGTAACAGCTCTGCTGTGTGCCAGTTGAGCATCGGCATCAGAGATGAATGGCCGGGCATGTGAACACGCCTCCTCAGCTCACCTGTGTCCTCAGTGAACAGCCCTGGCAGCGTCACTGTGTACTTCAGCAGGTTAATCTGCTGCAGTGTGAACATTGTCAGGTCCAGTGCCACAACATATTCCTTTAGACCAGATATCACTGGCATCGCTTTGCTCATTCCTGTCACTTTGATTCACTTCCATTGTTTGGGACCACAGTAAGCTTCACTGAATCTCAATGACCTCGTGGTGGGTTTGTTTTGTTAACCTCAGCTGCTGTTTGTTTTTTTTTGTCTCCAGGGTTCAACTCTCCTTCATTTCAACCAGCTCAGGATGTGGGTTTCATCCCCAGTCAAAAACTGGGATCCACCTGATAATCTGCTTTTAGCTGCTGTGCCTGTCAGACAGCTCATCAGACGCCTGACATTTGTTCTTGGTTTTAAGAGTTTTGAGCGAGTTGCAACCTGAGCAGGGCATTTTACAGTGTACACACCAACCTGTCGGTGCTGGTGGACAAACTCCGTTTTGGATTCAGACTCATGTCCCGTCTGGATTTTCTTGCCACTGCTCAGCTGGCATTTACACCGTGGCCAGTATATCTGCAGTAGACTTACATCAGCTGATGTAGTTGCCTGGCTAACGTACTGGTCGACCTCTTATAGTAACTGTCCATTAGGGCCTGTTCACATAACAGCTGGGCCAGTGGCCAATGCTGTTTGCTGCAGCCCGGCGCCGCCTGCTGAGCTCGACAGGCTACAGGGTGAGAAAGGTCCTGTGACGCGGTGTGAGAGACAGCCAGGTGAGAGCCAGTCGCCATCATCTTGTTTGCACGTTTACTACCCCACTTGACTGTGTGATATGAGAAAGCAGCTGATCAGTGCGCCCTCTGGTTTCCCGCTTCGCTACACCATGTCTTTAACGAGTTAACAGGACATAGAAAGGACTTGTGGAAGCAAATCGCTGACAGCAAACATGTTAGAAAGCAGTTGTTACATCGGAGCAGAGGATGGTGCGCTGAAGTCGGTCCTGCCCTGAGGTTTCAGTCTGCACATTCAGGTGAAGCCTCTGCTCCGCCTGCAGCTCAGGTGGGGTCAGTGTGGAGGTCAGCAGAGACGAGGTCATCACAGTAACATCTTATGTTTACATTTAGACTTTCTCTGCCAACAGCCTGCCTTCTACTTTCCTAGTTGGTTCAAACTGAGGTGAAGTCAGGACCTTGGGTTACTGTGCCGTGGTATGAATTAGACAGCAGTTTGCGTCTTTCCAGTCTTCGTGATGGTGTTGAAATGGACGGTGAGGCCCTGTGTGTAGTGGTTTGTTCAGTAGCCTGATAATCTGAGGCCTTTGTGGAGCTGTTTTGACTTGTACTAGTCTAAGAGAATTGATACCTAAACTCTGTTGTGATTGGATCGAAAGATCGATTGAGTTCCAGGTGTGCGACTCATTGATTGACTGTTTCTACCAGTCAGACAAATCCAGGCACTGTTAACGACACCTCATCTTTACGCTACGGTACAGGTCAAGCACAAACAGCTGCACCTCTGAGGCTTTGATTGTGCGCTTGTGTCTAGGCATCATGGGAGCTGTAGTTGGTCCTGGGCTGGTTTTGCTGAAAGCCAGTCGGCCCCAGTTTCTGTCTTTGTGTTGTCAAAGTCCCAAACATTTCCAGACAAAAAGCAGTCTGCAGACATCTGGCTGGTGATGTGATCTCCATATCCCCATCCTCAAGTGCAATTAGTGAAAACACACACAACAAGCACACATGTACACACATCTCATGTAGCACTAAGACGAAAAGACACAATCTAAAAGTGGTTTTAACAAAGACGCCGAATCCCACACACACAAACTCAGAGGTTTTTCACACCATCAAAGTGCCATGCACGTGCTCGTGCTCAGTGGAACTGTATCGGTGTGGTGTTCTTCAGAGCTTCATGACCTTTGACCTTACTCTTCTCTGTTCAGAACCTTTTAACTGTGAGGTTTTATTTCCTCTGTATCTTGCTGCTCTGCTTTTCTCTGATGATGGATTTCTTTATGCAATGCTGACGTGGGTGGACCCTTCAGGTGGCAGCTCCTCCCTCATCTGTGAAGGTTCTTTATAAATCCACATCTCAGGCCTTAATGTTCAGATGTTTTAAACTTCACCTGTGATGTGGTCGGAGCCTAATTCACTGCACAGCTGTCATCACAAAGTCCTATAACCAGCTCTCAGCTTTACTGGAGCCAGAAAATCGTAATTTACAAGTTGAAAGTAAAGGTTTTGCAGCATGGGAGCCTTTGATTTTGTGGCACACACAGATGTGGTGTTCAAGGTCTCAGAAAGTCAGGAATTTAATCTTACACAGCCCCTGAAGTTCTGGCAGATGGTGTTTTATTATGTTGTGTGCCTGTGCACAAAGGTGGAGGACAAAAGGCCTTTGGTTGGATAAAGGATATTTTCTTGTGCACAAAAGCTCCAAACGTTGCTCACAAACATCATCTTGTACAGCAAATGTGCTAAGCACATTATTATTTTGTGCATAAACACAACATGTGTACAGTATAAATAAGATCTTTATCTTCCAAAACTTAGCATCTTCTGTACAGATTTTACGGAGTAGACTTTATCACATCTGCAAAAATTGTCCTGTGCATAAAGCTTTTTTGTGCCCACAATATAAAAAGTCTTTATATATTATTTGTACATTGTGTGCACAAAATATAAATGGTTGCACAATGTAGAACTTGTCTGAGCAACAACAAAAGATCGCGTGGGGCCTCGGGTCTCTGTAGAGAAGTAAATGAGGCAGCGCTCCGTCTCCTTGACTTCAGAACACGCAGGCCTGCGGTGCTGCAGTGCACTGTCAGTGTATAAGATATCAGTCTTACTTCCTTCATGGCTCTTTTTTAACCTGCTTCTGATCT